TGTGTGTGTGTGTGTGTGTGTGTTATATAATGTGATTAATCTGGCTCCTTCAGGCTGAAAACACCAGGTTTGTATTGTTTGAGTAATTTTAGAAGATAAATCTTAAAGATTGTTAAAATCATTCAAACTTGTTTCTGCTGCTTCATTGGACAAGCTGTGGACTTTGGAACTCACCATCTGATTGGGTGGTGACGCTCATGGTCTCGGAGGCGGGGCCTGCCCCGTAGCGGTTGATAGCCAGAACACGGACGGTGTAATCGGTGAACTTATGGAGTCCCTCCATTTTGTAGTTGAGCCCATTCACCTCCACAGTCTGAAGATAAACACAATGGGTCCAACGTAAAACACCTCAGATCATCTGACATCACACCACCGGTGGAACCAGCAGAACCAGTTCTGACCAGAAGAACAGGTAGAACCAACAGAACCTCATGTGCATCGGTTCTAACCTGCTCCTTGTCGGACGGACTCTCGCTCCACATCAGCCTGTATCCGAGCACGGGGCCGTTTGGTTGGCTGGGAGGTTCCCAGCTCACCTGGAGGGAGGCCGGGGACAGAGCGTCCACTCTGAGAGACTCCACCCGGCTGGGGACCTGGACTGTGGAGACAGACACACAATAGAGTACTTAAACTATAGAGAGACAATAAAGTACTTAAACTGCAGAGACACACAATAAAACACTTAAACTGCAGAGACACACACTGATAAAACTACAAACAACAGGCGGTGAAAATGAAATCTCCTGTTGTATTTGTATTGTATTTGACTGTTGTTTGTAACGTTCTGTATAAACACATGTGACTCTACCACCGTTAATACCACAAGCTTCTGCTTGTATTTCTCACCAGGTGAAAACTGTTTGCTGACATCACAGCAGATATGCAGAAAGTGATCAATAAGAACTGGAGGCTCACGGTTGTTGGGTTGTCAGGAATAAAAAACTAAGTAAAAACTCCAAAGTGGAATAAAGAGGAAACTGAAGAACCAGAAGCAGCAGAACAAACACACTCAAAACAACAGGCAGGTACATGATGATTGAACTCAGGTGCAACACATCAGGGCAGAGCAGCCAATCACAGAGGAGGGAAACCAGACAGGAAGTGAAACACAATACTATCGCACAAGTCATTTCAAAGTAAAACAAAAAAGGACATAACTAGAATTTCAACCAAGTCTGACGTCCATAATATCAAAAACAAGAATAACAGAGAGTTCGAAATGACACATCAAAGTCCTGTACCCACTAAACTCTAGTGGCATAAATGAACAGTGGGAAAATGTTGTTTTAATAGATATTATATTTGGAAAGATCAGGTTTGAACTCGTGCATCTGCATCAAGTAATGAGTCACATTAACAATAAACTGTGTGTTTGTATCTCACGGTCGGGTTTGGTGGTGATCCTCAGGGGGGCGGAGCTCTGTCCTGGTCCCACGTCATTATAAGCGACAACTCTGAAGCTGTAGCTCTCTTCTGGTTTCAGATTAGAAACCATCAGTTCCAGAGACTCAGGCTCCGACACGTTCACCGACCGCTCCCTGTCACAGAAAAACACTTGTTTCAAAATATACTTTGTTTTCTATTGTAATGAATTGGTAATTTATACAGACTGACTGAATAGACTCAGTCAATTATATCTTATTATATCAGTGATGAACCACCTGCTTTCTGTTTTACAGATTATATTTACTGAACCTTTTCAACTGTGATGCTTCACAGTTATTTGTTAAAATCCTGTTTTATTTTGTAACCGAGAAGATAACAGGATCCTTATTCAGCTGTAGTTTGTGTAATCCCAGATAATCCTCAGATTACAACAACTCTGCAACCTCCACTAATCGGCAGATAACTGAGCAGCTGGAAGCACAGACATTCCAAACCTGTAAATCTGTCAGTGACACGTTTCTCACACGTTAACGTCCTGCTGCTGAAGGGACAGATTATGATGTCACTTTCTTGTGAGGGCTTTTATTTCTAAAATCATTTTAAGAAGCTTTTTAAATAAGTAAATTAATAGAGTAACTTTAGAGTTGAACATTTAAATAACTTTGATTTCACAATGACGACGGAACTTCAGGAAAGTGATGGTAGGCTTAAATGTTCAGAAACACTGACAGATCACTGACAGAAACAGATCACTGACAGTAACAGATCACTGACAGTAACACA